CAGCTCTGCAAAGACAGTACTGTCTATTTAGGAAACAGACAATACTTAGTCAAAGGGTATCTTAAATTAATTCAATGTTAAGAGAAGCAGTAAATCTACAACTGGAAAACAACCAAGAGCTCAGTAACACGTTCAGAATGCTAGCAGTCTTGGACTGTGTCAGCTATGCTCTACATTTAACTAAGCAGGCAACAAAACACAGCAAGAGAAACACTGTGCCAAAATCTCCCTTTCACAGTGTCAGCAAGGTAGGGTGACCAAGAAGCCTATGGATGGCTGCTAAGCATGACACTGCTTAGCAATAGCTTATTTACAATAGCTAAGTATTTCCTTTCTCAAATTTGGTAACTACCTGTGATATTCCATTCAGCTTCCTAGTGAACGCTTTTAGAAGTTACAGCCTGTATCTGCTCTTCCCTGAGAGAAACCCACAGTTCTTCCCACTGGATTTCCAAACTAGAGCACTCCATCACTGCTGCCCAGATCTACCTCCAGCACACACAGAAAGATTTGGTCAATGTTACATAAGCAGTCACTTCTCAGAGTAGTAATCAGGTCTGGTGTGTTCATTACTAAATCAAGATTTTTAATGTTAACCAAAGGTCCACAGAAGCCCCAGGAACTCAAACAGTAAAATAAGGCACTGCTCTGACCTCATCAATGATCAATTCTTGCCTGGTTTTGAAACTTTACAATGGGAAGGCAGGCAGGCAGTTAGCAGACCAGAAATCAAATGAGACTTTTATATTCCTTATCTCACTCTTGGGACCTCTTGAGATCAAGTTTTGACACCTTGCATCCAAAACAAAACTGCAGTGTATAATGTGGCACAACCTAAGAATTTCCAAGGATGTGTGATCTCAAATAGTCGAAAAAAGAACTTTTTGGAGAAGAGACTGTTCTCCTGAATGATAAGTAAGAGCACTCTTTTAGGTAAATGAAAAGTTTGGTTATGACTGAAAGAAACCACAATGCCATAAAATTGCTAAGGAAAAAAACAAAAATCTGTAAATAGAAAATTGTATCTGCTTTCAATAAAATAAAGAGCACACAATAAAAAAAAAATGCAAGTAACTGACCACAACGTGCTTTCATTCAAGATGCTCTCACTCAAACTAGACTACATGAGAACTAATCACATCTGTGAAAAATATGTCTAAAAAAATTACTAGATATCACTACTTAGTAAAATTATATTAGAACTTAAGACTCAAAACCAATCAGATGTCTTAAACAAAGAAGTCTTCAATATTTTTTTTCCCATTTGTGGGATTCAGCTATTTATGCTGTTCTATGGAACAGCTTTGCTAACCAATGGTGTTTCTCACTTATTAGATATTGCAGCCAAAAATCGCTCTGAGTAATTACAAGTTGTCATGGGTTTTGCCAAGCTCAAATTCTTTCTGCAGCTTCACTTTTTCTTTCTGTTAAACAAGGTATTTTTCTACAGGAAAGTGGTTACTGCATTCAGCTCTATACCTCACCCCAGTTTGTCTTCCAAATGAAATCCCAACAGATGACATGCATATGATAGCAGTATCACAGCCCAGACCCCACAGTCAGTATTAAGAACATGGGAGTCGTACCAAAAATACATGCTGAAGATCTGACCCACAATGATGGCTCCCCTACCCCACCCCCAACCATCAAAACAGGGTTTCTGGTAGTAAGTAACGTGATTTCTTTTAGTCAAGCCTGTTCTGTTGTGCATTGCTGCAAGAGATCTATTAATGTTTTCCTCTCCCAGTTTTTCTGAGGGTAAAGCCAGCCTTACATCAGAGACGAAGAGCCTCAAGCAGAATATAGTAATGGACAAGTAGCCTTATAATTCCTACTATAAAAAAAACCCAAACCCTACAGCAACAACAACAACAACAACAAACCCAAAAAAAACCCCACCCCAATTTTGGTATAATTTCAGCAAAAGCAACCACTGCTAAAAATAAAGGCCGTTTTGATTTTTCCCCCCGCCTCAACTTAAGCACTGCAACCAACAGCTCAATACCAATTTTTTCAGCTCTTTAAGTGCTTATTTTTATACTGAGTGATATTTACTGCAGTCTTAATACTTCACCCAAATTTAGCAAGAAGTTATAAATTAATCCCATAAAAACAAGTGCAGTATGCTTTTAATTTCCAGAAAACTCTCTACTGTAACTGTATTCCAAAATGATACTACAGCTTTTAACAAAACTGCTAACTTTTAAATTTAAAGGATTCTAAATGTACTGAAATTTACGGGAACTAAAGAAAACCAAAGCATGTCAGTTCTAAGAAGCTAAGTTTATCCAATTGTCCAAGATGTAACTAACCTTTTGAGTATTTTCTCTACAAAGATAACTTAATGCTCTTTCTGAAAATACTGTTAAAAAGAAGCATCTCCTTACTAGGTCACACATCTGAATACAAATGCAATTATCAAAACATGACCTATTTCTGAGAAGCAAAAAGTAGAACACATTTGAAATGAGATTACAGCATTAAACTTGGATAGAAAAAGAACAAAGTGAGAGACTGGAAATTCTGTTCCCTGGCCATCTAGCATTCTGTAGTGGCAACTAATAATTTGAAAATTGTTTCCCCTCTTCAACCATCTCACAACATTCTGGTTGTTACTATTTTCAATATACAAGTTCATTGCAGTAATCAAACACAAATACTGTGTTCCACTAGTTCTACAAAAATTACATTCTGTAATACCAGATCACTTCTTCAAAAGAAAAAAAGATTTGAGAACCTCTGACTTGCTATAAAATTAATTTTCACTTCTATTCATAAGGGCATCACACAGCATGACACCTTGTGCACTCACCTAATTTATGAAATCCACTTTTTCATATTCTCTACTAGTTCCTGATGAAGGGAGCCACATTTTAAATTGCTCTGCAAAGACCCTTCATTAAAATCTTAGATCCATCCTATAAATAAATCTACTGTTGGCATGTGCTCAAACCCAATAATGACTCAAAAATGTATACTTTTTGAATACACCATGTGACTGAAAAATAAGAGCTACTTATGTATGTGCATGTGTATGTATGTGCAATCATACCTGATATGAAAATTGACCAATAACATTAGAAGTGATATCTCAATGTTCTTCTCTAATCCTGTAAAAAAGCCTTTTAAACAATGAAGTGGGAGATGGTCAAATATCGTGTAACCATTAAAGAATCTTCTACTGTCTCATGTTTTAAAACAGAAATGGCAAAACGGCAGGACAGAGGAAGTAACTAAGGAGGGATGGAGAAGGGGGAGAAAGAGGAGAAGCGGTAGGGGAGAAAGACCCTCCACCTAAGAAAAAAAGTTTGTTATAATACTGTTCAAGGGCTATGTTCAAATTCTTTCTCTTTTCCAACTTGCAGCATGAGTAACTGCTGTTTTACATTTTCTCACAAACCCTCCTCGTATCTAGGTACTTCAGTGACCTAGATTCTCAAATATTAATTCCACTTACAAGTTCATGCTCCTTTCTTGAAAAAGAGACTAGATATCAGTGAATCAAAGTACTCACACTGGTTTCCTAAAGCTCCAAGTAATTCACTGTTAGCATGATGACATACTGTAAACCTTTTCGATAACACTAAAAATTTGCTCACATATTCAGTAGTTAAATATTCTCACAGGAACCTTAATGAAGTTGAAGACAATCAAACAGTTGTCTTAAAGTCCTCTCAATTCTGGAGCAAAACAAAGCATCAAATCACTGTGTATATTTTCCAGTCATTCAGCACAGAATTATGAACCCAAATAGTTGTTTAGACTTCAGGAATTTTTGCACTTTAAAAAATCAAAAATAGCTGATTTTTTTTTTTTATATGTATTTCTTTATCATAGAAAAATCTTAAAACATGTTACCCCTTCTTAAACATTAATACCAGCTCAGAAAGTATTTCCAATAACTTCAGTCCAAAAAAGACTGAAAAAATACTACTTAGAGATAAAGAGGCCGCCAAAAAATCTTATAAAGTAACTAACTAGAAAAACTTGCTGCCACTTGCTCAGCATTCCAATAAAGGACACATGCCAGCATGAAATACAGTATCAACTGCAGGAAATCAATTATGTATACACTTGCTAATACTTCATGATTTTATGTATTTATTTAAAAAGCACCGAAGATCTGCTTTGCTTCAAACACAACACATTAATTCGAGGACACAAGTTCTCTCTGTTAAGTACTTAATCAAAGACTCATTCACTAATCTGCCATTTACCTGCAAAATCATATTGGTTTCCATTCACAACATTCTGACAAACCAAGATCTGACAGAGTGTTATTAAGACAATTCATCTAAAAACATTTTCTAAGAAATTATTTATTACTCACTTTTGAGCCAGAATTTTAAGTGACAAAACACATTGCATGTATACATCAAATGTATAAAATTAATTGCCTCAAACTTGGCTCACTTGACCTCTTTTGACAAATTCACAATGTGCTGCTGAAAAACAATTATACTAAAACTAACCAGCAGAAATGTAGAAACATAATGATGTGATGGTGAGTTCATAATATAAAAATTACAGAGAAATTACTATCCTTAAAAACCGGTACAAGTCAATTAAAATCCCAAACAGGTCTTACTACACCAGAACGAGTGCATACTAAACAAAATTCTAGAAAGCCTTAGTAGCTAATTTTGTTTCAACAGCTGATGCTTAATATGTTTCTAAAATGTATTAAAGACTGTATTAATTATATGAACCACAAGAATGCAGTAGTGAAAACTAAATTCTAAAGTATTTGATGTCACTGAACGAATCCATCCTTTATGAAAACAGCAGGGCACATCACCTCTCTTTCAGCATTCTGAAATTAAGTCCACACTCAATTAGGAATATTTTAAAAGAAGTAATGTACCATGATTTGTATTTATCAATATAAATAGTTGTGGATACCTGTCAAGAATCAACTAAGCAAGTTTCCGCCATTCCTCTAATCTAGTCCTTCTCAGGTTACAGTTGAAATAACATTGTTCAAGGGAGATGTTACATACCCATTTCATTAATAGTTGCTCTTGTTTTTGAGACAAAAGAGCTAACTTCACTTGAGTGCATTTTTGCTCTTTCTTTAAGGTCAGCACCTGAAAGTGACATTTCACATACATGTTAGCAAGCTGTAAACAGTACTATAAATACATGTTCACAAGTAAAATATTCCTGCATGCCCAAAAAAATTAAGTCTACTTTAAGAAAAGGACAGTTCAAATTGGTCACATTCATTTCCCGCAGATTTCAAGGAAAACATAGCCTATTTATCAAGGGAAAACAAAAACAAAACAAAACAAACAAAAAGATCAAAAACCAACAACAACAACAACAAAACCCCACAAAAAACAACCACCAAAAACAAGCAAAAAACCCCACAACAACAACAACAACAAATCAAATTACCCACCACTGGATTTTCACTGAGTATATTCTTCCCGGTGACAGTTCCTCTTTTACTAGAACAGTTCATGAGTAATAGCATTTATGCTTTTATTTTCTCAACTGTGTCACAAAGTCTGATAAATTTGTGGGGTTTATATTGTGCTCTTGTTATTCTTTTATTGGTAGATAATAAAATAGCTAGGGTTCATGTTTTTACATTAACAAACTACATTTAGCTAAATAAAAAAAAATCTACAGTGGACCTATTACCATTTTTCAACCCACTTTACTGAAATGCATTTTTGACTAAGTCACACAACAGATTTTTTGTTCTTCAGAAAAATAGTAGAATTTTTAATGTATTTCTTCATGACTATATGAAAATAATTGTTTAAAAAGCACACTAAGTAAAGATGGTTACAAAAGTGTGTTTTTAAAAATTTGCTGATACATAAAACCAACATTTTCTCTCATGAATGTATAAAGAAAAAGAGAATCAGATAGTAATAAAAAATAACTAAATGCAGAGTAAGATAGGCAGTCCATTATCCTTATAGACAAAGAATACATGCAAAATACTAAATTTGCATATATACATTTATTCTCCAAAGAAGTGCAACATTCCCACGGCAACTGAGCACATATTTTTTCCATCTGGTAAAAACGAACCTAGAATCTCTTGGCATATGCCTGAAAAGGCTAAACATGGTATATAACCAATGCAAAAAAACAGCTTTATGTTTCTCTACCCTGAGAATCAAAATATTACTCATTCAGGAAAATGCATCATTAATTTCGTAACTCAATTTTAAATTAAGCAGTCATACACTTCCCCTTTAACATTTCTGGACTTAAATCATGCTAGACCCTCTTAACCCTCTTCATCAAACACTTTTAGATACACTTTTGTTGACAGCATTAGTTGACATGCAGAACTCTAGTCTAGCTCTGAGAAAACCAGTATGTCAATCTGAGATTTTTCTGACAGACATCCAGCTGCTGGATTAAGGTAACATGGACAATAAAGCATCTCTGCATCTCTTCTCCTTCCATCACAGCAAAGCTCCTAATTTTACTGAGACTTTTGTTCTCCTTCTGTTCATGTCAATATAAAAACAATAAAGCATCAGTCCTGACTGCATTTGCATGGTTCCCACTAAATAATGTCAAGTTTAATTTACAGTATCAGACACCTTGCCAAAAGCTTCCGAACAACCTTGTAAGATATGCCTCAACTGAAGACAGTATGACAGGCTAGTTGAGCAGGGGGTATAAAACAGGAATTACTGTGGTCAACTGTGCATTGCAGCAAAACTGCAATTGCTGCCTTAGTAATTCACAATGAATGCATACAGAAATTGTGCCAGGAACCTAAAAAACAAACAAAATTTGCATCCACAAATCTGGATAGAACTCCAAATCATATAAAGCTGCAAGCAAGTTTCAAAAATGCATTTTTCTACATGATTCAGTAGCTGAAAGGAGCTTTATAAAACTTCATGACAAAACCTGCTGGAAAAGCTTTATCAGCGAGTGTGCAAATGAAAAGATATCACTTCTCTGGTATCTGTTAATGTCTGGGTCTAGCTTCTGCAACTCTGTCGAAAACACTGCCAATATGAGAACAACAACCTGTGTGCTTTGTGAACAAGAAAACTGTATGGCTCAGCAATCTGGCTCAAAAGTTCCACACTCTGAAATCCTGTTCACTGGGCATACTCTTGAAAGTATATAAAGAAAACTTCAAAAGAGAGGCACTGAACCTAAAAAATACCTCCAGTATAACTGTTCAGAAAATGTACTGTCAGGAAAGGATTAAGGCAATTTATAGGGTTTGATTTATTCAGACTTATTTAAAAAACAAAACAAAACAAAAACAACGGATTCAACCCAAAAAAGAAACCAAATTCTAATACAAAAAATACTCAAACTGCAGACTTCTTTCATTTGGAATATATATTTACTTGAAGATATTTAAATAAATCTATTCAATTTTCAACAAAGAAAGAACAAATTACAAGGTAGCTGCAAATTTAAACTTAATTATTTTGAATACTGGAAAAATATTTCTAGTACAATAACTGATCTTAGTGTCTTAACCAAGTTCTGTAGTCTTATATTTCCATTTTTAAGTATTTCTCCCTCATAACTATCAAGGACATGGAAAAAGTTTCCCACTAAAATAGGAAAGACCTTTCCTATTTTAGGCCTACAAAGCGTAATAATAGTAACTGAGGACTTTCATGCAGAAACCATTTGCCGCACTCCAACAAAACACACATGTTGGCATCCTCTGGTTCACAGGAGATGGACCTGCCACCTACTTAATACTTTTGTTCCTGTTGTAAGATTCAACCACTGATCAAAGAATTCTTGAAGAATTCCTAGTTCCATATAGCAAAGAACTATTCACAAGTTTCTTCGAAATCTGTTCTTATGTCAAAAGTAGAAAAGGTTAAGTTTTTGAATACAGCCATGAAGGAAAAAGAAGACTTCTGCTCTCAGTCACTGAAATCAAAGATCTCTCCTCTCACCCCAAATTTCCTACTTTAAAGTAACTGAAAATAGTATTTGCTCAACTGCTGAGAGAAACAAAGTAGCTAAGCTTTTCAAACCACAAAAACTCTGACAGAAGGAACCTCTGCAACTTTCCCATGGGCCACAGCTGAAATCTGCAGACACACTTGGCCTATCTGCTTCCCCACATCCACTCCCAGCTCTCTGGGGGCTGTACCGTATGTCCATGATTCCATACCACACTGAACACAAGGCTCTCTAAGCTCTTCTACCCGAATATATAAAGAAGGAGGAACCTGAGCTACCAGCGAGTTGAGGCAAACTAACTGTTGCAGATTTGATTGTAAACTGTAATTATGTCCCCACATCCATCCGGTTTGTACTGAAGCATGAATCATTGTTTTCTCTGTATTATGATTTCTGGCGTCTCGATGCTTTGTCGCAGTAATTGATTCTCATCCACACAGAAACATAGCAAAAGCTAGTCAAAACTAACTGTGATTCTAGGGGTCATGCTCTGCAATTCTCACCTCTCTGCTCCCAGCACTTCACGAACTGCTTTAAATGGAGTGCCATTTTCAAATTACTAGCTGTTAGTACATGACAAAAGAGATTTGCAACGCTGAAAGACTATACTGACAGTGCAATCAGCCACGTCCTCATACAGCCACATTAGGACGAAGACAGGTACTCTCCACTTGCGAATAAACTCTTCTTGAATCAAATTAATTCACAGAAGCATCACTTCCAAATTTACAAAGCAAAGTGGTAGAAGAGAAGCACTTCCCTGCTTGCAAAATACCAGTACAAACAGCAGACTTTTGGAACCTGCTGAGCAGCACGTCTGTAAACTGGTATTGGCAGATCAACCCTTGAAACTACTGTGAGAAAGATGCATGCTCCTTTAAATACTACCTTCACTTCCACTGAGGCTTGTCAATCCAACAGAAAACCTCTGTTTCTTACTTCCCCCCTCAGTATTGGAAGAACACAGAAACGTTAGTTACTTCTTCCCTTACTTCCCATAAGTATAAAAACCCTGATGTAATCAATTAACTCTCTTTGCAAGTTTTTAAACATTTAGCTACTCAACAGTTGGCCATTGTACACTGCCAGTCCAGAGAGTTTCTGCAGCATGTGCCTGACTTACATTTCACAATGATGCCAGAGAAAATGTTTATTCAAGAAAGCCAAGGGCAGTCCACCAAGATAGGCATATTGCTGTTATTCACCAGAATTTTTCCACCTACGTATTCGTATGACAAGGATGGCTATTTAACCTAGAGAACACACCAAAAGTAACTAAGTTTTACAGTGATTACTCTGACCTCATGCCTCTTGCCTTATTTGGATATTTTCACACACTTTCTAAACAGAATTTATATACTGTTGAAAAGCTAAGTGTTGTGTTTGAAAAATCTGTTCCAACTTCTTTGTATAGCCTCACTTTCCAAATACCATAAATGCCTAGAAATTTTCTTGTACAGTACTGTTCCATACTATGCTTTAACACATACTTCCAGAAAACACCACAAAACATTTAAACTTAAAAGACACAAAATTTAATGGTTTATACCTCATACTTAAGAATTCAACTTTACTCAATAAATATTTTTATTTAAAAATAAGTCTTTCAGAAATCTTGCACACCCAAATTGAACAGGGAAGTTATTCTACCAAGTGTCAAAAGGTGCCCAAAGTGCCTTTTCTCTGAGAAGAGGAAAGGAAGTGACACATCACAGGCATTTGAGGTAGAATACAGCATTGTAGCAATGTTATTTTGAGCTTGCCCTTTGATCTTGCCAAACACAGATCAACCGATTCCGTCAGCACACAAAAATTTCAGTAAGGAAGTGACATCTGAGAGTATCAGAAGATATCCTTTTGCATGCTCTTTCCAATTCCTCTGTATCTTGTTGGCAAAAACTAAGAACACTGGAAACTGTAAAGCACAGAGGCACCACCTGTAATATATTTAATAACCCAAAGAAACAGGTTAAGGAATTTATGAAGGAAACTTCAAATAGTTTCAACTAGGAGTAAAAAACATGCACTACCTTAGCAATTAGAAGCTTAAGAACTGCTATGTACCCACAGCTTATTCCTACACAAAGTAATTAAGCAGACTTTAAATTAATATTCCTCCTTCTTTACACAGAAAAATAAACACTTAAAATACTAAATTAAAATACTG